TCTTGTCATCATCTACTAAATTCACTTTTATGGAAATAATAGGTGAATGTCGTTAGCCGAATTCAATTAACTGATTCAGCATAAAGGGAATCGTGAATTACTTCCGTAATTCATGAGAATTGATACGTGAATTGGTATGTAAATTCGAACGTGATCGACAGAATTCATCGTATTGTATAATGAAGAAATGCATTCGTCACTCCAAGCGATTTAGCATCACTTTTAATAAACCCCATTTTCCCCCATAAAATCATTATTTGACGGAGGGAAAAGCCTCGTGTTTTATACCTTAGAACCGCAAAAAATCTAAACCCGACCCTGTCTAAAACTAAATTCTATGCAGAAATTCATCAACCTATATTCAATTTATGTAGTTTATATGGTGAAGAAGAAATAAAGATTGAAGAAAATACGGATAACTTCATAATAATCAAGGGGTTGTTCCGGTAAATGTAATCTTATTCCCATTTGCATAATTTCTTTGCTAGTAAACATGTCTTTCTCTTTCGTTTTCCACGGATATTTATAATTGACAAGAAAATTGCTTTTCTAAGAAATCGAATGAAGAAAAAATACAAAAAAAAAAATTGAATTTTTCGTCGGCTTGTGTCATAAAAAAAATTGAATAAATAAAATTTAAACATGCACTAAATATTTTTGCTTTTAAATGCGACAAATTAGCATAAGAGCACGAGAGACGAGTGTAAGAGAGGATGTAGAGCAGCTGACATTAATCCATTCTTTATATAAGGAATTGGCAGTTTTATTTGAAATTGTGCATTTTATATTATAAACTCGTTTATTCGGATCCGGATACAAGCACGGCCATGTTTTATTTTATTTATTTTTTATTACATATAAGTTTAACACCAGATGTTTACCGTTATATTAAATTGAGGCACTTGTATCAGTGGCGACACCTGCACTCGAGAGACGTAACCATACAATATTTCGCTGTGTGATCTTTTCTTATAAATAAATGTTACGTATTATCTTTATTAGTTATAGTAGCGCCTTATAGCTTCATAAGACCCAGGCAAATTTGAAAAAAAAAATTAGGGGCCCCATGTACAGTACAGTGTTGACTCTTCAAAAGGGGAGTTTTCGGAGAATATTTCCTTATAAAAGATTGGTTTAGGGTCCATGGTTTCTGCCCTTTATGCTTATAGGATAACACGTTACTGTTGAGTAATAAGAGTATTCTCAGTAGTTCAAATTTTCGTTTATTGGATCCGAATTGTAACTAATTGTGAATATATTTTAAAACTCTTTCCGTCTTATAGGCACCAATTGAGCCTCTTTAGCAAACCCATTACGGGTTAAGCCAGGCCCACAATGGGACGACCGGGTGATGAGAAACGGGACATATCTAGGACGGACAATACACAAAATTCCCGGGTTTACTGCCGGAATTCGATCCCGGATCCACACAACCAACACACGCAGATGCTTTTACTCTCTCGACTATCTGGCCGCGAATACATATTACACTTACATACTGACAACGCCTTGTTTCTATGTATGGATTTATATAAGTGGTGATATATTGTGCAAAGGTATTCTTTTTATTAAAAAAAAAAAAAAGTTGGCATCATGCTGGCTGTCGGTCGCACTTCTTTGGCAGTGGAAAGACACGAGCTTCCATTTCATGCTTGGTTTCTGGATCGAGATGATAACACCACCATCAGTTGTGGCTGTACGATCCAGAAATGCTCTTCTGAATATAGATTGAAATGCATATCTTTTGATAAATGAGATTTTTCTCCGCGACAATGTGCGACTTAATGTCGCAAAATCCAGCTCGACACCCAAGAAGCTTAAACGGAGGGCTTAGCCATCTGCCACGCAGTCCCGATTTGTCACAGTGCCATTTCACTTTCGATTCTCTCAAAAAGGCAAAGAAAAGCGTTTCATAACGAACACGAATCTCACAAATCTCCTTCCATGAAGCCGAAATTAAAAAAAAAAAAAAAAGATAAGGTGGAATTGTAGTTTTGGTATGCTTTAATTCACAAATAATCAGTGCAATATGACAAACTTTGGTCCATTTTCATGACTTTCCCCAATATTCAGAAATCAAATCTTAACTCTTCGTTCTTCAATAAGCGATTGATAATTTGCAAACGCCATCTCTGAAAAACGTTTAGTGCTAATTTCAATTATCTCATAAGCTATCGCTCTACCGTCGGTTCTAGCGAAGATCTCATTTGTCATCATAATAAATGACTGAGAATTTTATCAATGAAACGAACTTAAATAACACGCACTTTACCGAAATATCATTTATAATTGAAAACGGGAGTATAAGGCCTGAACATTGCGTCATCATCCCAAGTATTAAGAGCTTATAATAAAGAAAAATCCAATTTTCAACGTATAAGAATAGCGATTGGTTTTCTTATAACGTTATTGAATCGATATTTTCATTTCGTTAGAGACTCATCAGTGCCCGAGCGGATAAAACTACTCAACATTGGTTGTGGGTTCACGCCCGATCAACTGAGGCTACGTGTAATTTCCCGGGTTTTTTCTTTTCATTTCTAACATCTAGTTTCTCAAAATCCTCCCGAGACGAACTCCGTTGGCAGTTGTTATCTGTTGCACTACCATATCCCATCTAACCATTACGTTATCTCAATGATTTCAAGTCACATAAGATACCGAGTTCACGAATTAGCTTTTAGATCATACCACCAAACTCAACAATTTTACAGAAAATACACACGTAATAAATTAAATAGTATGGAAAATCATAAAAGCTCCCTGTATTGAAATCAACCCGAAGTATACCTAGAAAAAATTAAGGAATCATTTGAGTGAATTGTATTTGAAAGTAATACTTTTAAAACCTTGTCCCCTGCCTACTAAGAGGACCTCTTTCCCTTCATACTCACGGGGTTGGCCGGTACCCGAAATATTCGGAACAAACCACCCATGAAAGATTCTTGAGAGTTCTCTGCCAGGACTCGAAACTAAATCCCTATACCTGTAGTGGCGACAGACAAGTAACACTAGAACATAGAACAAATTTACAAATATAGTATTAAAAATTAATTTAAAGCACTATTTTTGTTTAAGATTTTCTTAGAAGACATTAAATACCATCAATGACTTGTAGGATCGTGACGACCCACTTAACTGGGATAAGAGGTGAGTAGCTATATTCGAACTCGGATCTCACAGTAGTTTCGTTTCGTGAAGTAAATTACATGCTGTGTAATTATTTCGTGTCATAGGAAGAATCAAAATACTGTAATTCAACATAAACTCCAGTAATCTAATCGTTCATAAGAGTGGGATCCTTTATAATTATTAACGCTATATTTTCCATTGTATGTTTGTTTATCCGGAAGTACGACAGACAAAACATTTACTTGATTTATTTTTTTTTATTCTTTTTTATCTTTTCACAAAATTAAGCTAGAGTATCGACTATAAAAATCTAAGACGACTCATTACAGGCAATTATCTACAAAGCATTTTCGCACCGGTGGACATAAAAAAAAATGAGGAAGAAATAAAATGAAAAGGTAGGTAGGTCGACACACGATTTTCTCTCGCATTTTTCTTTAAAATTGGTCAAACGATCGAACAGATAGATAGATAGAGAGAGAGATAGGTTGAATTTCCACAAATTCTGACCCCCAAACAATACTTCTAGCGGCTATTTTACGGCGAGATTACGCGTTATAAATTAAATTAATTTGGCCCTTTCCCGCTTTCTACCGCTAGTATACATAAACACTGAGTATACCGGCAGTTTATATATATATATATATATATATATATTTATTTATTTATATATATCAAAACTTGTATATTTATATAGTCATAATTTTATTCTATTTCGGTGGTTTCCTCTATTTCTTTCTTCTATCCGTTCCTGGAACTTTATGGGACAACCGTTATTGCCTTTGGATAGAATTAGCCATTCCATGAACAGGAGGAGAACAATAGGAGGTAGGGTGACTAAGTGAAAAACAACAGACTAGTTGGTCAGTTTTTGGACTGGAGACCGAAGGGGTTAGACGCATCATTAAGAAGGTCAAAGGGAGATCTAAATGAGAGGATCGTGAGGACAAAGACCATTAAGAAAGTAGGTACGAAAGGAGATCTGTACTAGGAAGGATCTGGAAGGCTCAAAACTTTTTTTGAACCTTAGAGAGGATTGCATAGTTTGGTACGGGAAGAAGGATTGTACTTAGGCATTGAATTGGGAAGAGAATTCAGAAATCAAGAACCCTGCGGTCAGCAAAGGAATCGGTGAGATGGCAAGTACAATAACCTCCAAAAGAACTCTTACCCAAAGAGCATACCGGCACAGACAAAAGAACAAAATCCTGGGTGACTGTAGACTTCCATTCTTCCTCATTCCTCATTTTCATATCCCTATTTCTCTCTTTAGGTTAAGTTAATTTTAAGGTAGTTTAAGAGTTAGTTAAGTAAGATTTTATGTATGTGGTTAGGCTAAGAAAATTGTTACGCGACTATTCTGCGGCAAAGTTATATTCCCAAATTGTATGAAAACCCAATAAAGAAAAAAATCCCAGCATGATGCACCTCAAATTTTGTAAAGTTTTACAAGAACAGTTGGAATTCTTTAGAACCTAATCCATTCATCATGAATAAAGAAAGGATTGTGTAACTTAAGAAGTTATCGTGTGCCTTTCCTTTTGTTTGTACATTTCCTTCGCGGGCAACATCACATAATGAACTACCACACAAGTTACATGCATAAATTAACATTTGATCAAACATCATTAAATATTAAAAAGAAATACTAACTTTACAATACTTAGAAATTACATCATATTTCCAAATTATTATGCTTATCAGTTAAGCACAAAACATTGAATTTTATATTGTAGACATTTTGAATTCATCAAAAGAAAAGTATTATAAATTCAAATATTTTAAAAGTTTTTAGTTAATTTATCACTTATAAGTGAGATTTTATTTATGCACAATGTAAAATATATATAATCTTTTTTAAATTTCAGTACAAAGCACCTCTTCCTGGAAAGAAAGGAACAGATAAATCATCTTCCAAGAGTGCCTTTAGAAGAAAAACTGCATCAAATGAAGAGCAAGTAATATCAGAAAATATAGTTAATAAAGCAAAATCGAGGGAGGTAGATTCGAATCGTAATTATATGAAATCAGGAAAACAAACAGGAAGGGTTTCTAGGTAGTTTTTTTTTTATTATACTTTTTAGTGTCTTATTACAGATTTTTTTTTATTAAATAATATCAAATATGTTGTGTATTTAATTTTAAAAAATTTTTCTATAGTGAACGTTATGACATAAAGAGTCGTGAAAGTACGGGCAGTCAAAATAGTATTGGGTCACAATCACAAGTTGTCAAATTTAAGGACAAATTTCCAAATCGTAATATTAAGAAGTCAGTGGCAAATTTTTATGATTGTCATTCTAAATTACATTTAGAGTATAATTTATTTTTCAATTAAAATGTTTAGATCTCCAGAATCCGATGATGGGTATTCCTCTTTGAGTCATGTTTCGTCACATTTGCAAGATATACTTCATTCTAAAGGAATTGATAATCGCTCTCCAAGAACTGTACCTGGAGTCAGAACAGGGGGATTAGATTCTACTGGAAATTGGGGACAAAGGTGAATAAGTAAAGTTTTGAATACTTTTCTATATTTCACAACTCAGAGAAATTGTTTTGTTTTTAAATTTAAAAAAATTCATGAGCCTTTTCCTTTTAGTCATAATGGTGATGTTATAAATGAAGAAGAATATGGCGTTCTCCAGAGGTTAGTTGATCTAAATAGTTCCATTGCTTCAACAAATGTATATGGAGATTTAAACAACAGGTAATTTAAATGTATTTCAAAATTCAGACTTATTCTATAAATTTATTAAATTTGGTCAAAATAAATAAATAAATTTGATTATTATTTTATAACATTTCCATTTATTAAAATTTATTATATGAAAATTGCATGTTATAAGTTTAATTTTTATATATCTTGTAAATAATCTTTGAATAATATGTCAAATAATATCTTTTGTCATGCATATAATTTAAATTGTATTCTACTTAGCTATATCTTTGTTATTACAAAGTCCATAATTTATTTCAAAGAATGAATAGTTACATAATGGATTATGATTGACTTGATTTATTATGCAAAATCTGATTCTACCAAGAGAGTTTTCATCTGTCAGAAAAGTTTATGATTTCTATATTCCAACTCATAAAACAGATGAAAACATTTTTCTCTGATTTAAATGACATTAGTTTTACAATAGTGATAAAATGCAAACTCGACATAGTTTATTGTATCGTAAAATAATATTTATCGTACAAACTTTCTTTTTCAGTTGGAATAAATTAATGTTTCCGTCCAATTCCAATCTGCCCGAAGTCTCAAGTTGCGATGGTCCTACTCAGGGATGGCCCAGCAGATCTTGTTGGGGTAGCAACAGCAATACACCTCTCAGTTCCAGTAGTAGTATCAGTTCATTGAGCACCGGAACCTCCGGAAGCAGGGGTGGGTCCTCAGAAAACATCCTGCCACTGTTCTGTTCACACTGCGGGAGCAAATACCCAGTAGCTGCCGCAAAGTACTGTTGCGAATGTGGCGCCAAGAGAAAAGGATTTGGAAATACAGCTTTAAAGAGTGAATTAATAGGATGTTAATGTTTGTACCCACTCCACAAGGACAAAATAATATCGCTAAAATGTACTAAATGACTTGCATTGATTAGTGTTTATATATATTATTGTGTTATATCAATCACAAAAAGTTTATGTAATAAATATTGCTTCTCTGATCAATATTCTTGTAACAGTTAAATAAAACCATTCATTCTAAAAAGATGCACNCAATATTCTTGTACATATCATCACAAATATTTATTTAAATCTTGATAAAGTTCCTTTCTACATCTTCTATAATAGGAGATAATAAGTATATTTATATATTAATCAGTTAATAAATTGCTATTTTAAGCATAATGTGCCAAAAGTTGCTTGGATTATTTCCAAATTCATGTGGTCCATCATAGAATCTATTTTTTCTGTATTTAATGAATACGTATTTTTTAACAAACAAAAAATACAGGTAATATATTTGCCTATGCTGTTAACTCACACAATATTATTTAGTAGTAATAAATATTTAAAATAAGTTAAAGCTTGCTTAAGTAATTGTTTGATATAAATCTTTTTAAATTTTAAAAATTAGGAATGTTGGAATCTTAAATAAATTTAATTATTGTAATGTAAAATAATAAAATATTGTTCTTTTAAATCTGATTTTATTAATGATGATCCTGAATATAGTTTTAAAAATTTAATTGTTTTAATCTCTAGATTTTATTTTCCTGCTGATTTTATTACAGGTAAACAATTATTTATTCATTTAAAATAATAAAATTTCAATTAAATCATTTATCATAATGCATTTATTAGCCATTGTCAGTAATGACATTCACCTATGAAAGAGCGAGTTCATTGATCACAATTAATACATATGTAATATATGTATTACTATCGGGTGTCCTATCAATAATGTGCCTTCAATAAAATTTAAGGTTTCCTGAATATAACTAATGGCCTTCCAGGTTTCTGGCAGGTCATCAGTAAAAAATAAAAGACATTGGGTGATCACGTTAATCATTTTTCCAGGTGTCATCCAGTGTGAACGACCTAGGTTACAGAAAAGCTTCCGTTTACTATCATGAAAATAGAATCGACGGTTCATCAGCATGGAACCAGTCTCATCTCTTGACATATTATCTCTCATGATGAAATTTGCAAAAAGTTCTTTGAACCTATATTAAAATTCCAGAGTTAATTAAGTAATCAAACTTATTTTTTCTTCTAACCATATTTTGAATATTAATTACAATTAAAAGTATTCCAATAAATGTTTTCAAGATGGGAAATATTATAAATTGTGATAAAGCTTTTGACACATCAGATGTTCTCTACTTTTAATTACAATAGAATTAACATAAATATTCTGATAAAAGATAATTAACTTGTCTCTCCAACAGGATTAACATAAGAATATTATTAAGGCAAAGCTATGCGGTTACAGAATGATAAACAATTCAGTTTTTATCCAATTTAAATATTTTTTCCAGGTTTTTAAAAATAATTTTCTTTAATTGGATTGTAAAGAAAATATAATTCATTTTTTTTAATTATCAAACTATCCTGTTGGAAACAAAAACAAATTAAAGGTATTTAAATTCTATTGTTTTTGTTAATTGGTCTAAACAAAAGGATTTTTTTTCTACCTAATTAGAATGAAAGAAACAAACAGTTTTCTCACATGTATGAAAGAAACAGATTTCTTTACTTGATTAATTTGAAATAAACATGTTTTCCAATTATATAAAAAAAGCAAAAATTTCTTTTTTTTTTATTGTTTTTTATATTTTAAGGTTTATTTGAAGATGATTTTATAAAGAAGATGAATTGAAACAAATATTAATTCCTTATTTAAAAACAAATAAAACAAATTTAGAATAAGAAGTTTGAAAGGATACATTTTATTTTTAAATAAGTTAATATTTATTTATTACTTTGTAGTTTATTTATGTTTAAAATTTAGATATTTTATTTATTAATATTTATTTTAACTTACAGACATGTGTTTAGATGAACTAAACAAGGAAGAATTTCAGAAATCTCAAACCTCTATTCAAAAAAGCTAATTATTAAAAAACAGAATTTTCTTATAAAAGTTTACACTAATTAATTAATTTATTAAAAAAATCTTCTGATTATAAAAATATTTTATTAATATCAACAAAACTAGCAATATGTACAAAGATGTATTTTCTTACCAAGTCTGGAACCATAATCAATTGTATTCCCAAAGTATTTTATATATCTACAGGAAGAAACTACACCTTCGTATAATATAATACCAACATGACTCAAAGAGGTGGTTCGAAATTAACAATATTAATTAAGAATCTCTTGAATAAATCAGCAAAATTTCCAAAAATATACAAGAAAAATTTCATTTCTAATCCATCATTCTTTTATTCTTTAAGAATTATAAATCTTAATCTGAACAAGTAGACTTGTTGATCTAAATCATGTTACTATTTTAATATTTGTTTCCAAGCTTTAAAAAAATTACTATTAATACAGGTTAAAGTTTTAATTAACCTTAACCTTTATTCAGATAAAAATTTTATTGAACTTTTAAGTCATGTAATTAAAACTCACAATAATGTTTTTAACTGAATAATATTTGTTTCAGAATGTAAATAAAAATCAAAACAAGTTTAAAGAAGTATTAAACTTATATATCTTCTATTGGATCTACTGTTTATAGTCTCAAAAACTTTTACAAATTCAACAGGAAAATTATATGTATAAATAAAACTTTAATTTGATTGAATTTAAAATTTAAATTCCATGAATTCCACATCTTCCAGATATTTCTATACATTCATTTCAATAGAAGTATAACCTAAAGATGAGATTTAATTAACATTGTATAAAATATATAAAATTTTCTTGTTGAATTTTTAACAACAGACTAATGCCTTTTTACAGTTGGCTATTTCCTTATTACTTAATTAACAAAATTTAAAAGGATATTCTACCAAAAACATCCAGTAGATTTTGATGGAAAATTCCATAAATAAACTGTTACCAAACCTATAAATAAGTCCACATTTGATACTAATACTAAACAAACAGATCTCATTCATTGATATGAAATTAGAGAATTTCTAAATAAATATTTTTATACTTTTAATTATTATCTTAAATTTTACTTCTTGAAGATTTTCTCTCCAATTTACTAAATAAAACTACATTTAATTACTAACATACAGTTGTTAAATGGGGGGGGAAACTAAAGCTCATTTTGGTTTCTAAACTTGTCGATTTTTTTTCTTAATAATGCCACAAATTTCATACATAATCATATATTAATTTGCCTTTAACAAATTAAAAATTTCTAGTATTTTTACCAAAGTATCAGCTTATAAGTTACATATAGAACTTTTGTAAACTTAATAATCAATATTGTAACATAATAAAAATGATTTTGACTATCGAAATTTTTCGACGAAATCGTAAATTTACAATTCTGCTCGACCTTGGACCTCTCACGTGACGTAATTAATCTAGATATATCGTAAATACTCTCATCATTATCAAGACTTGTACGTAACAGTCACGATGCACTAACAAATGTTTATCTAGGGGTATAAATCAAACCGGGATGGATAACATAAAAGGGAAATCTTTGTCTTCTTTAGATCACAATTTTCGTACGTATCTTTGGTTCCTCGAGTGCCAAAAGCACACTACTGATGAGGAGGAGGACTCTTTCCAGCAATAAAGGAATGGACATTAAATTAGAAAAGAAATTAACTAATTACGATTACAACCAGCCTAGCGATGAATTGGATTATAAAGAAAGAGGTATCCAATTTTCTTTGGTTTTATTTATTTATCGTTTTAATTAATTTTCAAAAAAAAAATGTTTCCTGTTTTTGGAAGTTAAAATTTGCATTTTATATATAATATTTCATATGCTATTCACGCTCGCAAAAGCAGAACTTAACCTACTTTTGACAGTTTTACACTTGAGATGATCGGTTTAAAAATAGATTTAATTTACTCGAAAACGTTAAAAAGAATTCATTTGCGCAGCTTTAAAACCTTTTTTTTACAGTTTTAACGGTGAAATTTTCGTTTTATAAATTACCCGGATTTCTACTGACTCTATTGCCAATTATATTAAACCATAAATTATTAATGTATGCAATTATTTATATTAATACATACACATCAGTAGTCATTTACGTTAACTGACACATTAATATATTCTAGCGATTTTTTATAAATAATACAATAATAATACAAATATTTATGAAATTTACTTTGAAAAATAAAGGAAAAAAAATGAAGTTTTAAAATAATTTTTTTTTCAAAATGTAAATTAATTTTGTAATTTTTTATGCTTGAAGAAGCAAACTTATTTGCTAAAGTAACGTGCTTTTTCAGATATTTGTTGCAGCGTATTTCTTTGCCTTATTTAAAATATTAATAAAAACTTCTCTTTCATCTCTACACTTAGAGTGTGCGAAGAATGCCCTAAGGCCTCTTTTTATTATATAGGCGTATAATCACAAAATTTAATATCCTAACTAAGTAGACTACTGGACCAAGTTCTAATATCGATAAATATAAATTGTATTTAGCGTGTGCGAGGTCCTTAAAAGCAGGAGGCCCTAAACAAAAGCTTGGATTATGTACACTCGAAACTTTCAATGCTTGAACTGGAACGACTTTTGTATTATTTTACACAAAAACTATAAATTAGTTATAAAAAAAAACTTCGCACGTGACGTTAGAAATTTAGTTTTTAGATTTATTTAATCGAATTATTGTTTAATTTTCTAAAATATCTGCAGGACAATAAATGAAGTAAAGCTTAAAATATAATTATAATACATCCTAAACAATTACTCTTGTGTATCAAAATGGAAAACAAAGAATAGTTTTGATCGGGCGGAACGAAATACTTTTTTATTTATTTATTATTTTGTGTTTTTTCGATCGATTTTTCTGTTTCTAAACCTGTCACAGAACGTGTTTTAGAATCGAGAACAGAATTGGCATCTCGCTTGTGGAGCGATGGATCGAATCACTTGATCGATTATGCTGATTAATCGCGCTTGATTGATCATTATATCATTCGTTAATGAGATCGATACCATGCGCAAATTACTAGTTTTATTCGAACGTGCCTTTGTAAAAACGGAATTTTTTAACACATATTTCATGATTTTATAATCGGTACCGATGGAAGAGTCTGGATCATGCAAAATGCACGCGTATCTCGGTAAGGGTATACTTTATTTTATTTTATTTTAATTATTTTTTTAATACTGGAATTACTATCTTTTTAGACTGGATTCCTGCTCGTTACGTGCTCACCCTTCTTACTTTCTTTGGTCTGGGTTTGCAGTATACGCAGAGAGTCTGCTTGAATCTGACCATAGTTGCTATGGTCAATAGCACCGCCATAGAAGCCAACGAAAACGACACTACCGACGACGAATGCCCCATACACTTCTCAAATACTACAACGGTCCATTATGAGGTAAGAAAATGGCGATAAAAATCACCAAAACTTTAACGATATTCATAAATTCTTTGAATTTTTAGGGGAAATTTCTATGGAGTCCTTCCATACAAGGTGTGATTTTGGGAGCTTTTTATTACGGTTACATCTGCACTCCCTTGCTAGGAGGAAGGCTATCGGAAATCGTAGGAGCTAAATGGCTTTTGGGCACGGGTATTTTATGCACCTCCATCTTGACTCTAGTAACTCCTTTAGTGGCTCATTGGGGGATCGTCGCTATGGTCATAGTCAGAGTTTTGATAGGATTAGGACAGGTAAGAGTATCCCTATCTTCCTTTTCCATAGTAAGTCTTTAGTAAACGGTTGCTGTTTTTAGGGAGTTAATTCCGCTTCCATGTACGCCATGTTCTCGCGATGGGCACCACCGGAAGAGAGGAGCAGAATGCTATCTATATGTACCATTGGTCAGCACGTTGGAACCATCGTAACTATGTCTCTCACGGGCTTCTTATGCGAATACGGTTTTGCCGGTGGTTGGCCATCGGCTTTTTACGTTTATGGTAAGATATTAGAGTGTATTTAGACAAAAATAAAATAAAATTACGTTTATTTTTATGATTCTGAAGTATAAATTAAATTTTTTTAGGAATATGTGGATGTTTATGGTTCATGTTTTGGGCCACTCTAGTGCATAATTCACCAGAAGATCACCCGAGAATATCCAAAAAGGAGTTAATGTATATACAACAAAATCTTCCACAGTTTTCGCAGAAAAAGGTAAAAATAATCTTCTAGAAAAAAACTGATTGTTAAAATCGCCCGATTTAAATTGTAAACATGCGTTTAATTTACGTTTCGAGCAGAGTAGACCCATTCCTTGGAAGAACATCTTTAAATCTAAAGCGGTATGGGCTGTAACAATTGCTAAATTTTCTGGAACGTGGGGATTTACATCATTATTAACTAAATTACCGGCATATTTAGCCGACGTACTCCACTTTCCTATGCAGAAGGTGAGTGATATTAAAATTTATGACAATACTAATTATGCTTTTATAATTAATTGTATGCATTAAACATTTCTAGAACGGTTTCACGAATTCGCTAGTTTACGTAGCCGAAATATTGTGCATGTTAGTTTCTGGTTACACAGCAGATGCGCTTAGGAAGAGGAACAATTTAAGCACTACATGTATAAGGAAGATGTTCGAATCCGTTGGTTAGTATACTAATAAAGTACAGTACATCTAGAAACACTTCAACCTTCGTAAATTTATTATTTATGAATTTTGTAGCTCTTTTGGGTCCCGCATTCTGTCTGATCGCGGTACCTATCATGGGTTGCGACAGTTCTTCCGTGGTAGTGCTTTTGGTTCTATCTATGGGTCTTTACGGAATGGTAGGAGGAGGAGATATACCAGTTTTCGTCGATATCGCACCCGAATTTGCGGGTATGAATCGTATTTTTTTAAAATTTTAATAAAATTACATTTTTACTTTTTTTTAAAAGGTAATTTTTAAAGCTAAAATTTGAATTTTTAGGGACGATTTTCGGTTTGGCTAACGGTCTGGCTGGTGCTACGGGTTTTCTAACACCTTTAGTTGCTGGAATATTCCTCGATTCCGACGTAAGTATCTATGAAACTCTGTATGTGTAGAATGTTAGTTACGTATCGGTCACGTCACACAGACGTAAAAGTGAATTATTACGCAATAATATTCACGTCATAGAAGAATAGAGATTCATCACTTTACGACGCATGAACTTACGTCACAGTCGAGTAAAACAAAGTTTTATTTATTGTGTGATGTAATGTTTCTGCATATGACGTAACTAAACTAATTATTTTTTCTAAACAGCATGGTGGTATTCAACAATGGAGCAAAGTCTTCTACAGTTCGGCAGCGATATATGTCATCGGAGCCGCCATATTTGTTATCATAGGGTCGGCAGAACCCGAATCTTGGGCCGTATCGGAACCACCCGCCCAAATTAAAGTACCATCGGCAACAGATAAGAAGAATTTGGAAAAAGTCGACGTGGAAATTGCCGTCAAATAATTGTTATCGGCCTTTATTTTTATTTTTAAAAAACGACGAAAAGTTTTGGACGGGTATTTATGAAGCGTTAATGCTGTTTGTGTACATAACGTGTGTAAGGTTAGTATTTTATATCGTGTACTTTTTTAAAGAAATCGTCGTTTATAAACATGAATGATGATTAAATTTCTACCTAAATGTTTTAGAAGTGATTTCTTATTTTTATATATTTAAATGGATATTTTTAAGCGTACATTTTAGTCTTTAGCCACTTAATTATTTTAAATCGTCCCCCTTCGAGTCTTCGGTCCATCACCATGGGTTCGATTTGATGGCAATGGGTCATAGTTTGGTAATGGACGCATCGAATCAAACTATTCACGAAAATATCCGAGGACCCGACATAAACGCGAACCCGGACCCCCTAGAGTGGCAGCTGCCTTTACCATTTTGATTATCCAGAAATTCCATGATAAGCTTTAAAACGAAAAGAATACTCTTCCTCCTCCTCACATTTTTGTAGATAATTATATTAATTCCTCATTTACATAAATTAAAAGTGCCGTTATAGAAAGATTGATAAATTCGATCTAAAAATCGGAATTATCTGGAAATATTTTTGTGCTGTTTCATCCGATTTATAAAGCTAACGTCCTTATATATATTCTACGCATTACACTGCAAATTCTCAGAAAATGAATCAATTTTTAATTATAAAACTACCTTAATGTTTTAAATAAATAAATCTACGAAAATATAAATGATGTCGAATTAGATTGATGGAAGGAGGCAACACAATACTTGGGCGATCTGTGAAGGTGGGGTACCATCCGGGAGAAACTGGTCCCATTTAAGTGTTAGATGGGTGAAGAACACCCGGCCAACCCATTTATTGTCACACTTGTGTACAATCAATGGGTTGGCCGCATTTGTGAGACTGGAATGTCTTTGTTACTACAGTCTATGGAACGATAATAGATCGAACCGTCCCATAAATTTCGTTAACAGGTGATAATGAAAGAGGCGTTGCCAGAATGACCTTGTCGTTTATTTATTTTACAATACGTCAGTGAATAAATATGCATTGGTGTTCGTATCTAACACGTGTGTAAATTCTGAATCTGCAACTTCTTTTCAAAAAATCACAATCTGTCAGTGAGGCCTCGAAACCTACGAGGGAAATTAAATGCGACATAATGTAAATATTACGAGAAACGAAAGGGCCCACAGTGGAAAAAAACCACTGAACTCTGGTCTTGTTCACGCCTGACCAACGGCTGACCGCGTGAATTTTTCCGGGTTGTCTTCACGTTAGTAACATATAAATAGGGCCAGTTTCCCATAGTAAATCCTCTCGGAGGCAGATCGCCCAGATATCGCATTGCCGTAAATAAATAAACCAAACCGAAAGGAGTGATGATTTTCGAAACTGACCTCTCCTGGAATTAAATAAAACATTCCACGTTTATAATAGTAAAAGTGATTGAGATATGTAACCTACATAACACCTTAGACCATGACTGCATTCTATAATGTACTGAAAAACTCCAAGAACTTAAAAATTTATTGATGTAATTTAATTAATTATTATTTTCCTTCAAGCTTTGCTCCTTCCTCTGGAAAATTTTCTGCGGTTTCACTTGGAATCATGCCAAAACAATGGTAAAAGTCCCAAACAAATGACGTCGAAGTTTCCAGCACCAGATTTTTAAAAAAGAGAATTACAGAAACTTTCTATTGACTTAGTTTATCTGTCGAAGTAAATTGTTTGCTATCAAATACGTGAAATACAAAAGCAAAAATCATAGATAATTCACTTCCTGTTTGATCGATAGCAACAATAATATTAACTGACCTTATGGGAAGTCCCTCGGCAACAACGTATAATTGTTATTTGGTGGTGACAGTCTAAGAACATTCGTTATCACCATGTAGAACAAGTATCTTCTTATCTCTCTGAAGGATTTGAATTCGAACGTAATCGTGACTGTTTGGAAACAAAGGTATTGAAAGTATTCTCCTGGTCATTAATGTTGGTGAATTTTGACTCGGAATTGCCCATAATAGATAATATTGTGGCTGCTCTATAATGCATTGTCAGTGGAAAATTGGATTGGCAATGATGTTGTAGTTTATTAATTCTAAAGTAAAGGCGTGAGGGTCACCGTCGTTCAATGTCTCCACTTTTGTGCACATCCCCCTGGGATACCACGAACATCGTCAAAAGTGTCATTTTTAGCCATTATCGACCTAAGATCGACCTAAGACAGAAAGGTTAATGCATCGTCACAGATGCGCATGCCTCTAAGTTCTTTCATTTTCGAGATAGAGTCAGTCACGTGGAATTGTGTCAGGTGGTATGATGACTCTTCTAATATCTCCACAGCTATATGCTCAGTAATGTCCTCAGTGGTGACGTAGAATGATTGCACGCATTATCGTGCAAGACAATTGGATATGATTGTGGCGACTGACTTTTTGAGATGAATTGTTGGACGATGATGCTGTTCGAGAAAGTTGCAGTAGTCTGTCCCTGTGGTATACAATGAGACAAGAACTCCTTGGAAGTCGCCTGCGATAACCATTAACACTTTCTCCTTATTCTGTTTTTGCTGCAGTTGCTAGTCATTCGATCGAAGTTCAGCTCCGGTTCGTAGATCTGGTCCATGGTCGAAATTAATGCAATTGACGGTTTCGTCAATTGTATTAATTTGACGAATGAAGGATTCGTCTTCACGCTTGTAACGCTCTAGATGAATTCGAGAAGTTTTATACGCTGCCATATCTGCTTGCCGTTTATAGCGTGAAGAGCATCTTGCAGCAGTTTTGTGCATTCCCAGCTTCTTCGTCAAGAAGTCGTAAATACTGGAAGCTGTAACGTCTACTTAGAAACTCATTTCTTGACAAGTCCTCGACGATCATTCTCCACTAACCTCAAAACGACTTTCACACGGTGTTAGTCTGTTGCAGTGATTGGATGTCCGCCACCCCGTATAATTCCGACATTCTCCTATACAAGATGAATGGATTGTAAGATTGATGGGATACGATAAAGCAACATATGGGCACATGCCAAGAGGGAGTGTCTCCCGGGCGGACTTTCTATGAGAAACTGACCCCTATTTATATGTTACTAACGTGAAGAAAACCCAGAAAACTCTATGATCAGCCCATATGGAGCTGATCATAGAGTTTTCCGGGGAATTTTCCGGGTTTTCTTTCTTATTTCTGAGCCACAAACGTAAGCGACAGAAAAATGCGCCAACGCATGCACAAACAGTTTGAAACAGGAAAAACATTTGACGGACTTTTGATATTTGGCAATTTGTGAGGTTAAGGCCATTTTCCGGAGATGTTACCAGTTCAACGAAAAAAAACTCCCGTAAAAATTCCAGTTCAGTAAGTCCAATATGAAATGAACGTTAGTCTGTATAATCGAACAACAAAGCTATTTGTGAACTCGAGTTTTTAATTTTTAAACTTAACAAGCAGGAATCTTGGGTTCAATTTTACTCCGAGTTGCGTTCAAAGTCGCGTTAAAATGAAACCAGTTTCTTCGCCATGACCAGAGCCACCTATACGTAAATAGGCCTGATCATAGCCATTGACTGATAACAATAGGTGAAGAAAGGAAAGTCGTCGGAAATGGTCGGTAAGAAGGTTGCAAGAACCTCACTTAGATGTATGGATTCTTACTAAACACAGTACAGAGTATTTGTTTATCCAGGAAATATTTTTGGGCTGCAATTTGAAAAAATCGTAATCTATAAATTCCCACTGTCGTCCGTCCGTCTGTCTTTCTTCCTTTAATCTCAAGAACGGAGTTAGATCGATGAAAATCAAGACCAGATATAAAAACCTTGGGGCAGGAGGCCAGGATTAACTATATACAAACTTCCGATGCAAACTGGAAGTCACGTTATTTCAATTCAAACATTTTCCCCCGAAAGGTGTTAGATGACCGACACGATTCTATTGTTAAAGGAAATTATGATGTACAGGGGCAAGCCACTACTAATTTGAGGTGGAAAGGATATATTTTAAATTAAATAAATTTAAAAATATGTTTATAAACTACAGCCCGGCATTGTAACGATGTCACAATAAATAATTGCTTGTTCTGAAATTATATCATTTAAATATACTGTATCATCATTTTGACAACCAGAGCAGGGATGTCTTCAACTCGCGAAATGTAACCAGAAAGGATTGCATTAATTATTATTAGTACGTTCACAGCATACAAGTTATCAGATTTTGCTAAAATTGAACAATATTTGTAGATAATGCAGAAGTACAGACAACTATTTTAAATGTTTTTTTATATAATATACATGCATCTAGAATTTAAAAAATATGTACAAATAGAAACAAAACATCGCATTTTCGAAATTTTGAAACCGCACTTAAAAAAAATAATAGTAATAAATTCGTAAGATAAAAATTCACTAACCTTGCTATTAAACAACAATATCCGAATGCGAGAATGAAGGGTCTTCACTTTTGACTTTACCGCCCGGAGGACATTAATTATTTTAACACTTCGTATCTTCAATTTGAAGCAGAGAATCGTCAACTAAAATGAGCATATAAACAAACCCATATAAATCAACACATATTGTTAAAACAACAATAAATAATCCCTAAAAATCACAGAATATTTAAAAAGTTAAAATAGTTTCCGTTTAAAAATGATAATTGTCATCCTGTTTTCCCTTAATTTGAATCCCTATAAATAAAGAGAATTGTAAATATCATTTATACTGTATTAATATATTAAGGGTCGAGACAGGAAGCCATACGACACTATCGATTTATTATTATGTATGTACAGTACAGGTGTATTCTTAGTTCGGAATTTGTTTCTAGTATATTCAGGTATTTCTAGTTATGGGTTGGTTAGTTTCTGTATCCCATCAGACCAAAGTTTGGATTGATGGGATACGCCAACGCAACACGTAGATCTGCCAATGGATGCCACTCTATAGGAAATAGACCTTTATTTAGATGTTACAAACGTGAAGAAAATTCGGAAAATTCCACGTGGCAAGTTCGTTGGTAAGAAAATTCACTCCAAACTGGATCATTTATTTATCTAAAAGGCACGATTTCAAATAAGTACAGATGTATTCCTATACAAAAGACGTATACAAGGATAATTCTCCAATTAAAAAAGATGGCGCCAGTAAATATGTCTT